TGTTCAACACCAATCAATAAAACTCAAAAAAATTGAAGCAATTCACAATTTATCTAAAACAACATGATTAATTGAAAGCTTCTTCCTCCTTGTCAATTAAACTTCTTCACTCTCCACTCGATAATATCAACTTCATTCTACACAATTAGAAAGAAATAATTATACATGTCTCCACAAACATAAAGAAGATTAGTTGCTTAGAATATTAAATATACCGGAAAAATTAATTATATGGGTGTGGGCAGGTATACCTAAACCCAAACCCAACCCGATGAATAGTGAATGAGTTTAAACCCGAACACGAGTTTTACCCGCGTTGACTAGGTTGGGTTGGATAGGGTACCCGTGGGTTCGGGTTTTGTTGCCATCCCTACTCTCCCCCATTCCCTTCCTCTTTCTTTCCACCTCCTAGAATCGAGAAAAACCTAGAAACATCCCAATTAATTCTCCAATTTTGCTTTCGAAATGCTTCTTCTCCATTCACAGTCGATAGTATGAATCAGAGCACCTGAAACCTGGCGAATAGATGGCCGCTTATTCTTCGACGAAGCAAAGTAGTTTGATAGCTTGTGAATAAACTAATTACTAAAAATGATAAAAACAGAACTCGTTAAATCACTCAAGTGAGTGTATAGTTAGTTCTTCACTTAAGCCATTTTATTTATCTAAAGAATCAAAATGCATAATCAGGTTCATCTTCACTTACTTACATGTATTTGTCATACAAATTCATTACACATAAAAAATGGTTTTGAACGGCCATATCAAACTAAATCTCATCTAATGATTATTGGATCCACATCATATTAGCAAAATGTCTAAGGTTATTGGTCAACTAGGCTAAAGATTAATACCAATTTAAGAATTATATATTGCTTTCAAATGTTCAATACTCCAATTCAATATATGCAATATACAAACAAATGATATATGAGTGTCAACCCTTCTCAAAAAATTTAGACCAAAAAAATATCCCCTCCCCCCAACACACGCACACATTTGCAAAGAAATACTAAATCATAATTTCTTCATTACTTTACTTGCTTATAAAGTTATTGTTGACGTTGTTTGTTATTACTGCAAGCTGTAAAAATACTTTTCAACTATGAAATTAATCAAGAATGATTTTATAAATGAGTGTTTAGTTGTACACATTGAAAAAGGTTTGAGTCTCAAAATAAACAATGAATGTATTTTATAAACTTTTTAGAATATGAGTCATCACATGTTGATGTGAAAACTACTCACTAATTCAAATTTTATATGTTATTTTTATATTATTTTATTTTTATCAAATAGCGCATTTTTTCATAAAACATGGGTTCACCAATATAGACTGTGTGGTGCTAGCACTTGTGCGCGAGCCCTTGAAGTTTAAGGCTGGTACGACCCATGAAGCATTCATGTTTGTACATGGCCGATCTATATACATTGTCTTCATGGTATGCTCTAACTATGTCATGCTAGCTCGACCATGTGCCTAGGTATAGACGTATAGTTATATGCATTCTAATAATTAAGTTTATGCCTCTTCACAGCACCAAGATAAAAAAAAGTCATAAATGCACCCAGTATTCGATTTTGACTACCTGATAACATACTACATTTGAACCAACTATCACTAGTGTCACAAATAATAAGTATACATCTGTATCATACATAAAATATTTCTAGCATCACAAATATTAAGATTACATCAATTATTATAAAGAGTAAAGATTATATAATGAAGTTAATTATAACTCATGTATGAGAAATTTTACAATGCCATATATTATTGGTGGTATAGGATTTTGCCTTTATGGTACAACTTCAATTGTATATTTACGTTATTGAACAACTTCATATTGTACCTATACTTTTTGTACAAATTCTTTTATGGTACAACTTAAACTTGTACCTTTATGTGATGGTACAACTTCAAGTTGTAAAGTTGTATCATAACATAATGGTACAAATTGTTTTATTGTACAACCTAAACTTATACATTTAATGTTATGGTACAACTTTAAGTTGTACATTAAAGCACCAATACTATATAGCACCGTAGAAGTGCTCCTCATGTATGTTAATGCCCTTAAATTGATCAACACATCCAAAAATGGCAAAATGAACATCACATGAAACCCAATATCGTCTCATTATTGTCGAGTTCATTCATGCCACATTAGCAAGTGGTTTGACGTTTAGCAGTTAACCATGCTAAAATTTTAAAGAACCAGTCACCTATAGTTTGTACAACATATTATTGCTTCGTAGTAGTTCTACAAATTTATATTAATTTGAAGAATTCTACATCACTTTTTCATATTCAATACCGCAATTCGGTATGCAATATTTCAAGCATTGAAATTTATGTTGCAATTTTAAGATTACCCCATCATTTTATAGGTTATAAAAAATTATATATCATGCATTAAACTTTTCTTTTCAGAAGATTTAATAGGCTAGCTAACCATGATGGAAAATTCATTTGTTTTTCAAATCTTCACTTAGTGTATGTTTAATTTAAGAAGACAAAATAAATTTGTTTAGTGTAATTAGTTGTGATTATTGTTTTTGTTTGAAGAGATGGTGGTGACAAAACTACAAGTGCACAGTGTCGTACAAGTAATAAAGTGTAAGTAATATTATGTTCTCTAGGGGATTGGTGAAATTTAATAATTAACAAATTTAGTTTGAGAAACTATAGAAATTGCAATGGTTGTAATCAAATGATGAGTTGCAGAAATACGTAAATTAACGAACTCGATAAATCAACTATTTTGGAGAAATTGATATTGGAGAGTTCCAAGGGAAACACAAGATTTTACTATTTTACCTCAGTAAATTTAATTACCCTTGTCAATCAATTTAATCCATATTTCTACAGTCGGGATACCTCTAAATTGATAGTTATCTCCACCGAGAATTACCACGTACTAACTAATTAAGACAATTTCTACTATCGTAGTTAACTGAATTAATTAATTATCCTTAAGAACGATATCTCTAAAATGACTGCATAACTCCTTATTTAATCAACTATCGCTTCGATAGGCAATTATGTCGTGTTAAATGTGTTCAGTTACTAGGTTTTCACTATCGTTATCAACCTAGAAAACTACAAATCATTGTGAAGGTGGCCAATCAACACAAAGCGTTAAACAATTTCACACGATAGAAAATGGTGGAAAAACAAATCGTGATTAAAACATCGAGGCTAGATAATGAAATTCATAAGTTTCCCCCAGAAATTGGGGGATTAGTTCATGATGAAAAGAAAGAACATAAACATGATAATGTTCAACATCACAACTAATTACCTAAACAAAAGAGTAGAGAAAGTACTAAGTGTTGAAGTTAATCCCCAACTTACAAGAGTCTTCCTTTCTTCAAAATGCTCAACTCCAAATTGTGTCAAAGTGAGCCTCTCCTTTTATTTTTCTCTCCAAAATCTGTCTCCAAAAGTGTCTCCTAAGCTCCCTAGTTGCTGCCCCTTTTAAATCCATTTTCTGTAGATTTAATCCCACCAAAACAAGGCACTTTCAGCTCCCATTTCCAAGAAAAAGTTGCTGCCAGCTTAAGTCTCTTTCTTTGCAATAAATTCTTGCATCATTTTCTCTATTGGTGAGCCACCAAATCCATTTGCTCACTTCAAGAAAGCTGATCCAATCCCAATAATTTCTGAGGGTTGCTGACAATTGAGTGAAGATTCCAACCAACAATAATTCGATTTGGGTCTTTATCGGTTTGACGTCCTGCTGGACGTTTGCCACTGCACGTCTGCACTTTGCCATTGCACCTGCATTTGTCCACTGCACTTTGTTTTGTTCACAATCTTAGCTTCAATATGCGTTAAATCGCTACATGTCTTGGTAATGATACTAGGGTCATTCCATGGTCAATATGAACTAATTTAGAGCAATTTAAACACATACATACATAAGGATCAATCATTTATGCACATAATACATATATGTTTATGAAGCTTATCAAGAGAACATGGTTCAAATCTTGATATTGATACTTTTTTATAGGAAGTAGATAGATAATTGTGATGACAAAAATACTCTTCCTACTTTCACTCTCTTTTCACCAAATTTGAAATGGAAAATCCTACAACATTGAATATATCTTGTAGAAAGAGTTTCTTCAACCAAGTAGGAAGGATATTGTACCTGAAATTATTTTATCTTATAGAAAGTGATTAATTGTGAAATTGGAACTCAAGTAACATTGATTCAAACTTTAAATATTAAATTATATGTGTGGTTCAGTTTAGACAAAGTACATGTGTGTAGCCAAAACATGTACAATTTAATATTAATGTTTGAATCAATGTTACTTGATTTTTTATTTTATAACTAATCTCTTTCTATAAAATAGATTAGTTATAATGCTCTTACTTCATTTAAGTGACCAATGTTCAAACTCCAATGATAACATTTTTAATATATAAAGCTGAACTGGGTGCAATGACAAAAATGACCTTCCTAGAATTATGGCAGACCACGAAATTTGAAACGAGACAATTCCAACTCATGTTTTTCCTTTATATATTTTGTAGATATATTATACTACATACTTAAAAGTCAAATGTAAGATAATTGTATTAGTTACATGTATTTATGTTAATGGTTAACTACAATTATGTCTTGATTGTTGTGTGTTATTCAATATATAAATTTCAATTTGATGCACTAAACGGAAATTTTCTCACTTAATAATAATGCGATGGTATATTGGTTATTTTGGTTAACCAATTAACCAAACCGAAAAAACTTTAGTTTGGTTAATTTCATTGTTGTATTAGTTTGGACGGTTTAATTATGATATTGTATTTCATAATTAATAAAATATAGACTTATTTAATTTGATAATTATCATGATAAACATTTAAACGCCTAATTATAGCAAATAGAAGAAAGAAAAAATGAAACAGACTAATTCCAATGGGTCTGAAAGTGGACAAGAGAATGGGCCACTTGGTTGGCCCGTCTTAGGATAAAGGCCCCAAACCCGGCCCGTTCCTGATTGCTCCTCGTGTTCCCTGCCTCTGCCTCCGCCTCCGCCATTCTCATCGCCTCGTCGCAGTGACTCCCCAGCTCAGTTCGATCAAACTCCTTTTCTCTTCCTCTTCAACATTAGACACTCGCTCGCGATCAATTTCCATGATCAAGGGAATGAAGTCACGATCCAAGGCTCGTTCGATATCGCCCTGGCCTAACCTCCGTCCGGCAAGTTTCCTCGTTCCCGGCGAGCAAAACCCTAGACGAAATCGGCCATTCCGAACCCGGACTAGCTCCTCCAAGTCCATTTCGTATGAGAATCTTTGTAGCTCACAAAAGAAATATTTGGATCCTTGTCCGTACGTGGAAACCAATGCCTATAGCTACCATCCAACAACCGCTCTGTGAGGACAAGAAAGCAGAAGGGACGGACACTGAGAGAGATGACCAAGTTAGAATCATCGCCAGGATTGGAATGTAATGTTTGCTTGCCCCTTTGTTTCAATGGGGGGGTTTTGCCGCTTATTACTATTGTCCCCTTCCCCTTCTCTCCCCCGAAACACCTTTCTCGTTCTCCGGCCGTTTCTTTCAAGGATTTGCTCCCGGTCGGTGTTGGCGAATCAGCAGGGGAACCGACGGTACCGGTGAGCTCCTTTCGCTCTGCTACTATTTTGTGTTGGATGTTAATTTCCTAATCATTCCGTGAAATGCTGATTTCAGGCCAAAAGACTGAACATCAGAAGATTGCATTTCACTTGGGATGGTGGTTTCAGAGGTATTTTCTTGAAGGACACATCATAACTCGATTTCAGGTGAGGCGATTGTGAGAAACACTGCTACCTAGAAACAACAAGAAACCCTCTGATTGTAGGTGGAAAAACTATTTCAGTCTATGCAGGTGAAGGAGTAAAAATTAGCAGAAACTTCGAAACAAATGGCTGTTTCAAGCCCCAACTCTTCAAGGACAGAGCACAATTCAAGTAAGGTGAGCCGAGTATGTTGAGTTAAACTAAGGAGGAAGCAGCACAACACTTTCAGCAGCGTTCATTTCATGTAATTAATGACTATCAAGCTACAATCACATTTTGGTTACCACGGTCGAACGTAGCAGTTTCCTCTTCTCGCCGTTTTCATCACTGAGAAAAACCTGAACATGCAGGTTTATGTTGCGCCCTGAAGCATCCAACATCCTATTCCGGAGTCCAGCTGATGATGCAGTTACCCAGTTGATCTGACAGTATTGTCTAAGATTAACTCTGGCCGCAGACGTTTGCTTTCGAATTCAGCCATTGCCATGCGTACGTGGCCTATCTGAAAATACTAAAGGTTTGTTACTCTCACATTCATCACATCTTTTGTCAAGACATTGCAATTTCTGTAGACATTTCAAGCCCCCTTACGTAGTCTTAGCTTCTGTACTAGCTAGTGACTTCTTATATATAGAAAACAGGATTCTAAGGGATATCCTAAACTCGATCGAATTATTAATGACCCTAAAGCGTCATAGTAAATGCAGTGGGGGAAGACTGGAATCGATTTAATGACTTGATGAGTGGCCTAGACAGCATTAAGATAACATTCTTCCTACTCTCCGATTCATCACGTCCACTTAATCTTTTTCTCCCTTTCCTTTTCTGTCTTTTCCCTTTTGCTGAAATAAAATCCTTTACGTCTCTGAATCCCCGTCTTTGTTTAAAGGTACAATTATTTTTGTTGTTTTCCTGCTTTTGTAGCGTGAATATTTGTTATCTGACGTATTTAGTTTCATTCACATAATCAACACAATAGTGCCATGCACCTTTTACCCACGAAAAGGAGGAAAAAACCCCGTACTGGCAAACATTACGAATCTCTTTCCAAAAGCCAAGCCATTTCCTCCATATGACCACCACCAAACAACGCATGCGACTTCCCTCTTATCAATTTCTCCCTTTTTTTTTCCCCCTTCCTGTTCTTCTTTTTCTACTTTGTTTTTTTAATGTCTTCTACGTTTCTTTTAATATCTTTTTTTCCTTGGGAACATAATGGGCGATATTCTCTTGGAATTATGGTATAAAGGTACGCCGGATCCCCAAATGAAGAGTTAAGAGGACAGAAGGTTGTGGCACCGGTGAACAGGCGCGCAGATAGGAACCAGCGGCGGAGGCAAGTGTACGGTACGCCTATCTACACTCTTTCTTCGTCTCTCTATCCCCTTCTTCTTACTTCACTTGTATCGTCCAGTGTATTCGGTGACATCCAATAAAATTGGAACCATACTTTCACCGTCCCACACCGTTATTGCACTGACATAGTGTACGTATCACACTATGTTGTGTTTTGACAAAAAAAATTTTTTACCTCAACCCTCAAATCCATATTGCAACAACTATACGATATTCTCCGACTACCATTTTCATCTTTTTTTGCTTAGTTCGTCAAGAATGGCCACAATACTAATAATAATTATCATCTCTCTCCCTACTACACTAAACATAATCAACTAATCACGACCATATCCATGTTAAAGTAGTTAATTTGATCTTAATTGACATTTTTTGCTTTCGAATTTCCACGAACCAATCGTGAACATTTAGCCTTAGCAGTAAGGTTTCAAAATATTTATTCAGTTCTCAGAGAATAATTCTTCTTTGCACGACCGATATATCTCATACACAGTTTTATTTGTTATAAATCAACAAACTTTCCGATTTGGATGCCTTCAATTATTGACTAATTCTATCCCTCGCGGGGTTTTTTTTATTTTTATGGTGAACAATCAGAATAATGGCATTGCCCTGGCCGGAACTCCCCTGTTTCCCAGCCTATCTCCTCGTATGTGTCCAGCTGGTTTTTCTCGGCGTTCTATTACTCGCTTCCCTTCTCCAACTATTCAAACAAAAGAACAATCATGAAGATGGCATCACTACCAATGGGAACACCAAAATATATGCCAACGGTGATCATGACGGCGACGAGGAGCCACCAGAAAACCCAACGGCCGACCGGCAGCAGACAGCTAAATGCGGGATCCCTACCAAAACAAGCATCGCATGTACCATTCTGTTGCTGGCTGTCCACTGCCTCTTGCTGCTTTCCATGCTCCTCTCGTTCAGCGGCCACAACATCATTTCCCCTGCTCTTGCTGGCAGCTGCAGTTCTAGAATCGGAACCCTTGCGTCCGAGATTGCACAGGTGTTATCGCTGGCTGCAAGCCTATTTGCTATCCGAAACGTTATCAAGGCCGAATCCACCATGTTCCCATGGATGTTGAGAGCATGGTGGATCTGCGGGTTCCTGTTGTCAGCATCATCCGCCTCTCTTTCCACTTACCTCAGAACCACACACCCCGGCAAGAAGCTCGAATTGCCAGACTACGTCAACTTCCTATCTCTCTCATTGTCATCATTCCTATTCGGAATCTCGATCCACGGCAAGACCGGCATCGCCACGGCCACGGCCACATTCTCTTCTGATATGAAGGAGCCCCTCCTTCCTGCGGAGGGGCAGAGCAAGCAGAGAACCCGATCACCATACGGAGATGCCACGCTCCTGCAGCTGGTCACTTTCTCCTGGCTCAACCCGCTGTTCAGTGTCGGGATAAAGAAGCCTTTAGAACAGGATGACATTCCAGACGTCGGAATCAACGAATCCGCGGCATTTCTCTCCTCTGCCTTCGCAGAGTGCCTTGACAGAGAAACAGAGAGGCAACAGAGCAGCGATAACACAGATGATGCTGGTGGCAGTAGTAGTAGTCCATCCATCTACAGAGCAATCTTCCTACTTGTACGCAGGAAAGCAGCAATCAACGCATTCTTCGCGATGGCCAGCGCGACGGCATCGTACGTCGGCCCTTACCTCATCAACGATTTCGTCGACTTCCTCAGCCGGAAGAAGGAACGCAGCTTGACGAGCGGGTACCTCATAGCACTGGGATTCCTCTGCGCCAAAATTGTTGAAACCGTAACGCAACGGCAGTGGATATTCGGGGCTCGGCAGCTCGGCCTCCGCCTCCGTGCAGCTCTGACCACTCGCATTTACGCCAAGGGGCTTGTCCTGTCTGCGCGCTCCCGTCAGGGGCACACCAGTGGCGAGATCATCAACTACATGAGCGTCGATGTCAACAGGATCACCGATTTCATATGGTACGTCAACACGGTGTGGATGCTGCCGATTCAAATTTCCCTAGCGATTTACATCCTCAGGACCAATCTTGGAGCGCCAGGGTCGCTGGCGGCTCTGGCTGCGACTCTGCTCGTCATGTCGTGTAATGTTCCCCTGACAAGGATGCAGAAGTCGTATCAGACCAAGATTATGGAAGCGAAAGATGGCAGGATGAAGGCCACCTCCGAGGTGCTGCGGAACATGAAGACCATCAAGCTTCAATCTTGGGACTCTCAGTTTCTCGGGAAGCTGAAATGCTTGAGGGAGGTAGAGCGGAGCTGGTTGTGGAAGTCTCTCAGACTTACTGCCATCACTGCTTTCATCTTCTGGGGCTCTCCGGCATTCATCTCGACGATCACGTTCGGGGCTTGTTTGATGATGGGGGTGCCGCTGACAGCCGGGAGGGTTCTGTCTGCTTTGGCAACGTTCCGGATGTTGCAGGATCCAATCTTCAACTTGCCCGATTTGTTGTCCGTGATTGCACAGGCGAAAGTTTCGGCGGACAGGATTACTTCCTACTTGCAGGAGGAGGAAGTTCAGCAGGATGCAGTGGAGTATGTTCCTCCTGGGGGCGATGAACGGTTCGATGTTGAAATAGAGAGCGGGAAGTTCAGCTGGACTCCCGAATTAGTAAGCAGTAGAAGCAGCAGTAACGTGACCTTAGATGGGATTGATCTGAGAGTGAAGAGAGGAATGAGGGTGGCAGTGTGTGGGACGGTTGGTTCGGGAAAATCGAGCCTGCTTTCGTGTATCTTAGGGGAAATACACAAGCTGTCAGGAACCGTGAAGGTGAGGGGAACAAAAGCATATGTACCTCAGTGTCCATGGATATTGACTGGGAGCATTAGGGACAACATTCTGTTTGGGAAGGCATACGAGAGCGAGCGGTATGAGAGGACTGTGCAAGCATGCGCGATGGTAAAGGATTTCGAGCTATTCTCGTGCGGGGATTTGACTGAGATCGGGGAAAGAGGGATAAACATGAGCGGAGGGCAGAAGCAGAGGATACAAATTGCTCGCGCTGTGTATCAGGATGCAGACATTTACCTATTAGATGATCCTTTCAGTGCAGTCGATGCTCATACCGGTACTCACCTCTTTCAGGTTGGTGTAATGCATTCTAATCCCCTACAAACTACAACAGTCAATTAAATGTCTGTAATGGATGCTTAACTTGTTGATTGCTTTATCATGCAGGATTGCCTTATGGGAATATTGAGAGACAAAACTATAATATATGTTACCCACCAGGTCGAGTTTCTACCTGCAGCAGACGTAATTGTGGTAAGTGCAAAACAGTTTTAAGAGTTTTTTTTATTCTTGAAATTGATCATTCTGCACTCTATAGCTCGAGTTTCTACCATTGTGTGGTACAGGTGATGCAAAATGGAAAGATCGCGCAAACAGGGAAGTTCGATGAACTTATGAAACAAAATGTAGGATTTGAAGCTTTAGTTGGTGCTCACAGCCAGGCTCTGGAGTTAGTTCATGCAGTCGAAAGTTCAACGCAGCAAACCACATCCTTATTAGTTGCCGACCAGGAAGAAAATTCCGATCCAAGTAGAACGAGCAAGCCATGCCAACAACAACAACGAGACCCTGTTGGGGTGGGTACTGATAATCAAAGTGGGAAACTAGTGCAAGACGAAGAAAGAGAGACGGGAAGCATTGGGAAAGAAGTGTACTGGTCCTACTTGACTGCTGTGAAAGGTGGAGTCTTGGTTCCATTTATAGTATTGGCCCAGTCATCATTTCAGGTGTTGCAAATAGCAAGTAACTACTGGATGGCTTGGGCTTGTCCTCCCACAAGCGATAGCAACGAACCTGCAGTCGGGTTAGGGATGGATACCATTCTACTCGTGTATACGTTGTTGGCTGCTGGAAGTGCGCTATGCGTCCTAGTCAGGGCCATCCTAGTTACTACAGTAGGTCTCTCCACCGCGGAGAAACTCTTCACTGATATGCTGCACAGTGTCATCAGGGCTCCAATGCAGTTCTTTGATTCAACCCCGACAGGCAGAATCTTGAACCGAGTAAGTGGGAAAACATTTGTAACTCAACTGTGCAAGTGTATGAGAAATTAATCATTTACATTTTACACATTCAGGCATCCACTGATCAAAGTGTGCTAGACTTGGAAATAGGGCAGAGATTAGGATGGTGCGCCTTCTCGATAATACAGATTCTGGGTACCATTGCCGTAATGTCTCAAGTTGCTTGGGAAGTATTTGTCATCTTCATCCCAGTTACAGCAGTTTGTATATGGTACCAGGTAAGCAGCTTCTTACCTCCATCAACACTTCATCTAGCATTGTTCTTCGTCGTTTTCATTGTGAGTATTTCTTTTATTGATACCAATGGTACTGATGTGAATTTCAGCAATACTACACACCAACGGCTCGAGAGTTGGCCCGCCTATCAGGAATCCAATTGACTCCAATACTTCACCATTTCTCGGAGTCACTAGCTGGAGCAGCCACAATCCGTGCATTTGGTCATGGTGAACGATTCATCACCGGGAACCTCGGTCTTGTAGACAACTACTCCAGGCCATGGTTTCACAATGTATCAGCAATGGAATGGCTCTCTTTCAGATTGAACGTGTTGTCCAATTTTGTTTTTGCTTTTTCATTGGTTCTGCTAGTGACACTCCCGGAAGGAATCATCAACCCTAGTAAGTTAATATATGGAACCATTGTTTGGATTTATCCTTGTCAAATTCTTTCCTACTGAAATTTCCTCAACCCACTAATGATGAACTCTTCGTTACATGATTGATGCAGGCATTGCAGGATTGGCTGTAACATACGGCATAAACTTGAATGTCCTGCAGGCTTCAGTTATATGGAACATATGCAATGCCGAGAACAAGATGATCTCTGTAGAAAGAGTGCTTCAGTACACAAACATAAAGAGTGAAGCACCCCTAGTGATCGAAGATCGCAGACCACCACCCAACTGGCCCAGTATCGGAACAATTTGCTTCAAGAACTTACAGGTACTCAGTGAATTTTGCTTCCAGAATCCTGAAACGTGTTGAACATATTCATATGGCATGAGTAGTTACTAATAATCACGGTACCAGATACGATACGCGGAGCATCTCCCATCTGTGTTGAAGAACATAAGCTGTACATTTCCAGGGAAGAGGAAAATCGGGGTCGTTGGGAGGACAGGGAGTGGGAAATCGACACTAACACAAGCAATCTTCAGGATGGTAGAAGCAAGAGAAGGCAGTATAATCATCGACGACATAGACATTTCGAAGATAGGACTCGATGACTTGAGATCGAGACTAAGCATCATCCCTCAGGACCCTACCATGTTTGAGGGAACAGTAAGAGGGAACCTCGACCCGTTATGCCAATACACCGACTTTGATGTGTGGGAGGTATTTTCAACAATTCTCTTGTCACATCACTAGGCATTAAGTATCTACATCGATAGTTATCGCGGTAAGTGTTTGTTAAAAAAATTTGCAGGCTTTAGCAAAATGTCAGCTGGGAAGTCTGGTGCAGGAAAAAGACGAAAAGCTGGATGCTTCAGGTACTTGTTTGTTATGATTTTACTCATCTAAGTAATTTCATTGTGATGTTTGATTGAACGATGCAATGTAACAAATCAATGGGTTGGGTTTGTGCGGCGACACAGTGACGGAGAATGGAGAGAACTGGAGTGCAGGGCAGAGACAATTGTTCTGTCTAGGGAGAGCCCTGCTGAAAAAGAGTAGCATACTTGTGCTGGACGAAGCGACAGCGTCAGTCGATTCGACGACCGACGGAGTCCTACAGAAGGTGATCAGTGAAGAGTTCAAGGATCGAACAGTTGTGACAATAGCTCACAGAATCCACACTGTCATTGATAGCGATCTCGTGTTGGTGCTTAGTGATGGTAAGTTTCCTCCATTTGATGTTCTGCAGAATGTCATCCACAATGGGTTTTTTTAATCTCCTGATTTTTGCTTTGTTGGGCAAAATTTTTCCATTGGTAACAGGACGAATTGCAGAGTATGATACTCCCAGAATGCTGCTACAGAGACGGGATTCGTTTTTTTCGAATCTTATAAAAGAGTACTCTACCAGATCATCACACATGAATTTGAATCTAACATAAGCTTTTGTAAGGTTCGGCCGAGGTGTTGGTGCCCTACATAGGATCTCTATTAGGACTAGTATAAACATAATTTCATGGATAAACCTTCTTCCCATGGTGTCATCTTGCTTACATCGTTGCTTCTGAACATGATACCCTGGTGTTGTTGCTTTCTCAGCAGGACAAATTGTTCAACTTCGTCCTACATTCGTAATTTCATACATCGATTATATCGAATATGACTTCGTCGTGATGGAAATTGTCTTTTTCATCTTGCTTGTTTGTTTCGATCCAACATTTAGATAAAACGATAATACTAGCTAGAAACCAGACAATTGAAAGAAACTAACACATAGGACTGTTAATGATCCATGCCAAGCAGAGTTCTTCTATGGTTTGGATTCGACTCATTAAGATAATTCCAAACTCGAGATCTAATATGCAAACTAGAACTCGACTCATGTATAAAATAGACGCTCGAGCTTGACTTGAGTTAGGCTCACCAAATGAGGTTCACGAGCAAAAATCGAGTTCACATGATAATGTCAACTGTAGCTTTAGAAAGAGCACTACTTGGCTCAAAATCAAATTATAAAGTCTTTCGAGCTTGTTCGCGAGACAATAAAGCTAAACATGTCATAGCTCGAGCATGACCCATTAATTGATGAGCTTATTCGTGAGCCGACTCGGTTAAAACCGAGTTGAATATCGAACAAAGTTTTTCTCAAATCTAACGCCTAATTGTTCCTTAAGAGCCCTACTAACACAAGAACAAGTGATTAGCGGGAATTGTCACTATTAGTGATGTCAATTTGAACTCGACCCGCGGGTATTACTCGATCTGATCCGTAGTAACGTGGGGCGGGGCATGTGTATCTTCCAAGGCCGCTTAACAGGCAATTTCTACAACAGCGGGATGAATGGATTGCTGATACCTCATCTGCAAGCCGCTGGAGGAATCCTACAGGGCAATCTCCTTATTCGGTTCCGGCCGCCGCTTGCCCTACTGGTGGAATCTTGATTCGTTTCGATGGTGCCACCCAGGGAAATATCGGAGGAAGTATAGGATTTGTGGGTTTGTCACCAACTGATTCGATTGTCTTCGCCCACGGTAAGTATTATGAAGGCTTATCAGACCCATTTCTATTAGAATTGTTAGCCTTAAGAGATGCTACGGATTTGTGCTTAATTCAAGGTATCTATTCTGTTTGTTTTTGTGTTGACTCGCAATTGGTGATCCGCCAAGCGCGGAAGAATGATATACAACATGATCGTGGTGGTGCGATCCTAGAGGAAGTTCGATTGATGAAGGCCTCCGTTGCGTTCGTTCGTTTTGTTTTCTCTCCTCGTAGAACTAACAAGGCTGCCCATTGCATGACGAAAACGGCTCTTGTATCGGTGGATCATCACTTGGCTGACTAATGTTGTTTATCTTACAACTGTTTGTAATTCCCTATCTATTAACTATCTATCTCGGTAAAAAAAAAAGAGCACGACTTGGCTCAAAATCACATTATAAAATCTTTCGAGCTTGTTCGCGAGTCTATAAAGCTAAACATGTCATAGCTCGAGCACGACCCGATAATTGACGAGCTTATTCGTGAGCCGACTCGGTTAAAACCGAGTTGAATGTCGAACAAAGTTTTTCTCGAATCTAACGCCTAGTCGTTCCTTAAGAGCCCTACTAACACAAGAACAAGTGATTAGCGGGAATTGTTACTATTAGGGATGTCAATTTGAACCCGTCCCGTGGGTATTATCCGATCTGACCCGTAGTAGCATGGGGCGGGGCATGGATATCTACTTTCGAACCGTCCTACTCCATCCCGCCCCGTTCTTTGCATATTATATCTCAATTTCTTATAGGGCTGGGAATCTAGACCAAACGGTATGAGGAACCGCGGTCTAGACCGTGTCGTATGGTTTGATCTGGATGATGAGACCAGGACTATCGTCTGGTCTGGTTTGTGGTCTCCTTCTTTAGTGTGTGGTCTGAAATGGTCTCGACCGCGGTTTACCGTAGTAAACTGTAACAAACGGTGGCACACTACCTACTAACTCATACCAAAATAACACTTAATTTACCCTCGATTTATGTATTTAAAGAACAAAGTTAGTTGATTCTTCATCCTGTTGAGAGCCCAAATGATCACTTATGCGTTATCTCATTATCAAAGAATCACACAAAATCCAGAAAGATTCATGAATAATATTCACCGGCAATGTCTAGACTATGGAGTCGATAAAACATAAACACTAAAAAAAAAATCATTCACCTTGATAAGATAAGGAAAATTATTGAGAGATGAGCGACCATCTTAGTGGTTCAAATCGACCTCGACGTCATCACGAAGGTGATTGACCGCGATAACCTTCGGAATACCCGAGAGAGGGACAGAAGCAGTAGCACAAATAACCTTCGGAATACCCGAGAGATGGAAACAAGGCTATTTGATGTGTGTTTTTTTAATGGATATGGGATAGAGTCGTGGAGACTAGAAGAGAGTTTGAAAATTGAAAAAACCTACTTCTCTCGTATATTTCTTCTCATTTTAATTACAATCACTAAACTTTTGTTTCACTAGCATATTGGTCACTAGAATTTTTATTTTTGCAGATACTGACAAAGGCTTGGAGGGAGGAATAAGAGTGATTTTTTTTAACATGGTCTGCCAGGTCTAGACCGTACCGGCCGCACCGCACAGGCATGATCTGGTATGGACCGTATAGTATATGGTCTAGTCAATGATCTATGTTCTAGCCCCTCGGTCTGGACCACAGACCGTGTCTATGGTCTGGTCTTGTCCGGACCGTACCGTTTCCTACCCCTAATTTCTTACAGTATTTATAAGGGGTTAATACCTTATTCTAATCTGAACTATACCCAAGTAGTCTACTTTGGCCCGTGGTGATAGAAATTGATATCCTAGCCTCAACTATACCCCATCTAGACTAATTTGGCCCGATTCGTAAATTTTTGTCAAATTAGATGGTCAACACCATTGATGGGCTCTGCCCCCAGTTCAACCTACCTCCGTCGACGATGGTGACAACGAACTTACCCTCTCTGTGAGATCTGAAAGCAAAGATAATATCCACAACAACCCATCACATATGAAGCACTGTCGAACGAGTACATCACTGCTCAGATCTGCCTGGCACTCTTCTCGATGCTTCAATCGTTGTCGCATGACCGATTGTCTCCCCCAATCTGAGTTTTGGGATTCCGGCTTTGGCTGTGAGCAGTCGGTAGCCTCCGTCCAGGGATGGGAGCAGAAAAAATTGGATATATTGAATTAGGGTTTAGGTTTATTGAGGAGAAGAGTATTTCCCCTGTTTCTCGAACCAAATTTTGATGGCGGATGGCCGGATGGAAGGAAACTTGGGACAGGGATGAGAGCTCGTGGGGGTGATGAGAGAGGGAGAAGAAAAGGGGAATTTTCCCTTTATTTTTTTTTTGTTTTTATTTAAAATGATAAATCATGGTAATTATGAAAAATAATTTGAATTTGAATTTTTAATAATTTTTTGCTATAATGGCAATTAGGGGTGGCTATTTGGTCAAGACTTTATGGTTTTACCTGAAATCGGACCGTATAACCCAGACCAGGACCGGATAGCAAACAATCCAATCTCATTTTCGGGCTTAGATTTGAGGTAAAAACCATTTGGGACCAGATGGAAAACCTGATAAAGACCTAATAAAAGAGCTCAATACCCAAAAGTTAACCAATTCCTCACCCTTTGAGGCCTCGGGCCACTCAAATCCCCACAAGGTCAATCTAAAATCACGACAGAATTGGGACCGGACTGTATCAAGACCGGATTGTATCCAATCCAAGCTTTGGACCTTATCTTCCCGAAAAGACCGGACCGTGACCGGATCAATTTGGGTCAATTTAACCAAACCGGACCGTATAGCCACCCCTAATGGAAATGACTTGGAATGTTGACCGTTAGTCAACAATGTTGACCATCCAAATTGATGGTCAAAACACGCATCTGGCCAAACTAGTCTATATGGTGTATAGTTGAGGCCAAATAACAATTTCTAAACCACGGGCCCAGATAGATTATTTGGGTATAATTTGGGCCAAAATAAGGTATTAACCCTATATATAAATATTTCTACTATTTTGACATGTTTCAAATAATTATAGTTGATCTTTCAATTTGTTAGATTCAATTACCCATTCTATTATCACTATTTTTCATTCATAAAGTGTTTTCTCCTTCGTTTTTCGTAAAAAGTAAACTTTACATGTATTTTTTCATATAACATCTAAAAGTGGATCGCCCCGCTGCGCCTCGTACCCACCCAGATTTTACCCATCCTAACTCATAGTAACATGGGGCAGGGCATGGGTATTGAGGCACCCGCCCAGCCCCATTGCCAGTTACTATTTTTTTTTTTTTTGTCATTAGATTCCTCAGCACTCGAGGTGAAAGTCAGAATCAAGATATATAGGGACCCTAACAAAGAGACCTATCGACTACGAAGCCAGGAAATGAAATCAACCTCCATTAACATGCGGGTTGATAAAGACAGAGAACGACGAGCTATAGAATGAGCCTCTCTGTTACAATTACGACCAATGAAACGAAAAGAACAATGGCCAATCTCATGAACGAGTTGGTAAATTTCATCTAGAATACTCCGAATCCTACTATTAGAGTTGTTCTGAGTTGTGCATTTGTCCATAATGATCTTTGCATCTCCCCCAAAAAGAACAACAGATAAATGCTGATGGTTGCAGTACATGAGAGAATCTCGAAGAGCAAGAGCTTCAATAACGTATGGATATGAAATACCCTCATAAATACACCGTTTAGTAGCTAGGATTGATCCTCCCGCATCACGAAGAAGCCAATAAGTCGCACCACATTTTCCTTGTGATGAGGAAGGAGTGGACATCTTGCCATAAATTCACCACCAAAGGAAGCATAACAAAAGTTGAGGCACGCCCATAAGGTGGGTGGAGCAAAGCAGACTCAACTTTATTCAGTTGATGTCTCCATTGTGCAGCCAAAGTGTCAATGTGTACTTGTTTGCGATCAAAGAAAACAGTACAACGATTCTTCCAAAGCTGCCATAGCATAACTACAATTTGAAGGAAAAATAATCTTGATCCGCAGCAGAGTAAGTGAATAAAGTGAAACGGATAAAACCTGCAAAAGTCCTAGTATGCCAAGAGGAGAATCGAGATTGAAAACCTGTAATCATCCACAATCTTTTTGGTAATGGACAATTGAAAAATAAATGCTTCAAGGTTTCTTCCTTCCGTCCACAAACTGGACAAATAGGGATAATATCCATACCTCTGGTCACCAAAGCCTGCCACAAAAAGATCAACAACTTGGAAGGGACCTTAAGATTCCATAGCCAATACCATAAACGATGATCCATGAAATCTGCCCCCAATTTAGAAGGAGGAGCTCTCCCTAACTGAAAAGCCAAGTGGTAAGCATACTTAACTGAGAAAAACCCAGAAGACTCAAAATGCCAAATGAGCCGATCCGAAATAGGTCTAAGAGGGAGAGGAATGAAAACAATTCTAGAAACCACAGACGGGCGAAAATGGTTCAGAGCCTCTTGATTCCAAGAACGAGTACCAGGATCAATAAGCGAAGACACAAAAGTGTTAGCATCACCCAAACCTCGTCGTCTAGGTGTTGCGGAAGGATGGCCCCATGGAATCCAAGGATCAGAAAACGCCCGAATCGAAAATACATTACCAACTTGCCACCTCAAACCCTACAACAACAAGTCACGACCAAACAAAGCACTTCGCCAACCGCACGAAGGGTTAGCGCGTAAAGGAGCATCCAAAATAGTGGCCGCATCACGATAATACCCCCCTCTACAAATCTTAAATAACAAAGACGTAGGTTTCGTGAGAACCCGTCAAGGAACTTTAGCAAGTAAAGCTTGGGTAAAACATCCAAACTCACATAATCCCAGCCCACCTTTCAATTTACTCATACAAAGGGACTTCCAAGCCCGCCAATGGATCCGCTATTGCCCCTGAGTCGCTCCCCACCAAAATCTAGCCATATGAGCATTCATATGTCGGATAAGATCTGCCGGCAATCGAAAAGATGACATGATGTATACGGGCAAAGCTGCCGCCACTGACTTGAGCAAGACTTCTTTGGCAGCAGGAGAAAGAGAACGCAGTTTCCATCCCTGTAGCACAATAAAGAAAGGTAAACCCGAATACCTATCCTCGAGACCAATGGAACCAACTCCAAGGAATTCACCAAAATCCTCTTTATCCAGTTGAGAGAGATTAGGACTGAAGAAGGCCGCTGATTTGTCTAAATTTACTTTCTGCCCACTGATCATCTCATAATCTCGTAGAGCATGAAGGAGATTCTCACCATCTCTCCTGGAAGTCCGAAGAAACAAGTAAGAGTCATTTGCAAATAGAAGGTGGGAAATAACAGGACAACGATGATTCATTCGAATCCCATGAAGTTCCCGCCTAGAAATAACTTTCCGAATAAGAGTAGTAAACCCTTCAGAACATAAAGTATAGAGGAGTGAAGAAAGAGGATCCCCTGTCGAATTCCACGGGAAGAGGAAAAATATCCTGCCGGCTGCCCATTCTTCATAACGGAAAAAGTGGCGGTTGTCACACATTGTTTTATCCAATGAATCCAAGTAAGAGAAAAGCCAAGCTTATGAAGAACAGAAAAAAGAACGGCCATTCAATCATGTCATATGCTTTTTCCATATCTAATTTCAAAGCCATGAACTTTTCCTGCCCCAACTGCTTGTTCTTAATAAAATGCATGATTTCATGAGCAACCAGAACGCTATCAATAATCTGTCTTTCCCTAACGAACCCATTTTGTTCAGAAGAAATTATGTGAGGAAGGATAGCATCAAGCCTATTCGCAATAATCTTAGTAATAACCTTGTAGTGGAATGGACAAAAGCTAATCGAACGTAACTGAGATACTCGTTCGACAGTATCAACCTTAGACATAAGAGTAAGTCAAATATGATTCATATTACGCAGTAACTTACCTGTCTGAAAAAAGGAAGTGACTGCATTAATGACACTGGCTCCCACAATTGGCCTGAAAGCTCTGAAAAAGCTTCTCGTGAAACCATCTGAGCCCGTTGCGCTCCCATTGCCAATTACTATTTTTAAGTTTTGATTTTTTGTGCAACTCCGCCCCGCCCAATGTGTAAGTGGTTCCTATTCATGGGTTGGGCTTGGGCCCCATATCCTGATGTGGTTTTTTTTAGTTGGGCCTTGTTTTGGCTTAGAATTGACGACTGACATGTCGTGCATTCATTGCACTGTCAGCAATTCAATCATTCTCTCTCTCCTACGCATTCTTATCTGTATGATGTATCGTATCGCCCCCACCTCACCGGCTCCAGTTCCTTTCCCGATCAACTGCTCAAGTCAGTATGGCGAATTACAAGTCCCTCGACGCCATCTCCGTCGCCGATATCCAATCCCTGGCGGGAATTACGCCGTCGCTAGCCCAGAAACTCCATGCCGAACTCGCCGAAATCGTCCGAGATCACGGCGCCGGCACACCAGCGACGTGGACTCACATTTCCAGGCGCCTCCTGAACCCTGACCTTCCCTTCTCGCTACATCAGATGATGTACTATGGTTGCTTCAAGGACTTCGGACCTGACCCGCCCGCTTGGTCCCCCGACCCGTAAGTCCTCCGATCAATCAATCGCCAGTCGCTCTGCTTGAACACTTTTGGGTTCGAGGGTTACTAACCTGAGCTTATCGTTTTAGCTATATTTGGAAATTTTACATTTCTGCTTGATTTGTTTGAATTTCGTTCTGGGAATGGATTCTGCTGGTTCTCGAAATTACAACCAGGAAAATTTTGAGCGGCAAAAAAGAACTTGATTGATGTGTTATTGACATATCTGTTTAATTTAGGTTACACATATAGCTATTAAATTGGAGTGGTTTGATTATGGTGTTTGATTCTCTTTGCTTGTGAATAACAGGGCTAGTGCAATCTTGAGTAATGTTGGCCAGCTCTTGGAGAAACATGGGGAAGAGTTTTTGGGTTCAGGGTACAAGGATCCCATCTCAAATTTTGCTGATTTTCAGCAGTTTTCAGTCTCAAAACCAGGAGTAGGACATCTTTTTTTGTTTTGTTTTTTCTCTGTAGCATACTATTACGCTGTGGATAGTGGATACCACTTGATAACTAATTTGCTCTGTTTGGGTGGACAGGTTTATTGGAGAACTGTGTTTGAAGAAATGGACATTTCATTCTCGGTCCCACCCAAATGTATTTTGCATGAGAATCCATCACATGAGAGCTCTGTGCCAAACCCAGGTGGTGAATGGCTGCCCGGAGCATATCTCAATCCTGCAAAGAGTTGCTTGAGTTGCAACAGTAAGAGAACCTTGAATGATGTAGTATTGAGATGGCGGGACGAAGGAAATGATGATCTGCCTGTAAGCAGCATGACACTAGAGGAGTTGCGCGAAGAGGTCTGGTATGCCTGGGTTTCATCTTCTACTTTTGTTATTACTCAGCGGTCTGACCAGTTAATCAATCTAAATGTTGAAGATTGTATTTCTTCAAAAAGATACAAAGTTTTAATTATGTTCAATGACTAGATTGGAGAACCCTATTGACAATTCCATGAAATCTACTGAGGTGATCTTATGCTGTTTAGTGTTTAGATGTGATTTCACTAAGAGAATCCCTAGATGAAAGAAATGGTAGGCGTTGATTCTGTTTGACTTAAAGCTTAGTTGAGGGCTAAGATATGGGAGATAACCCAAAAGCTTAAGGTTGTTGTTGGCAACTTTTCCTTGGTCAGCAATTTTTTCGCGAGTATTGTTGTCTTTATCTAACCTGAAGGATGGTGCTTTCTGCCATGAATCATAGGTTAGTTGCCTATGCACTTGATACATTGGGTTTGGAGAAGGGATCAGCCATTGCAATTGACATGCCAATGAACGTCAAGTCTGTGGTTGTCTACTTGGCTATTGTGCTGGCTGGATATGTAGTTGTGTCAATTGCTGACAGCTTTGCATCAACAGAAATATCAACCAGACTTAAAATATCCAAAGCAAAAGCCATATTTACACAGGTGATTTTTATTTTCTTCATTTTCATAGAGATGTTATTATTGCTATTAGGTATTATCCTTATTTGTTGTTCGCGAATTTCATACTTTAATCGCCTCTTTGCAAACCATTATATCAATCAATGGAAAGATGACAGCATTTTCTTTGTTGAGGTGATTCAAAAATTGTTTTCTTCTGATCTATTTTAATAGAGAGCAGAGATAGATCATACTCAAGGTAAATTGGTAATGTTCAGGCTTGCAGCTGTAAGTATTTGACAGAATTCATATCTTGTTGTTCCATTTCTTCATACAACATATCTGTCATTGGATCATTGTTGTGGTACAACTTCTATTACACAGCTTGCAATAGTTGTCTGAGTTTGTAAAAGGTACTGGAGCATGCGCCTGAGCAATATTGGATAGCTCCTAACTGTAAATACTCCCCAGTGGAGATTAGAAAAGTATGCAAACATGGATTTATGATGATCATCCTCAATGATATGTTTAACGATTGTCTCTAATTTCTTCGAGTTTCTCCTTGCATCTGATACATGCACATGCCTTTTAGCCTTTTCTTCTCATTTACCCATTTTGATACCACTCCAACAGTGTCAATGAAAGGCTCTGAATGAAAGATGAGAATGTGAACGTGGATAATTTTTTATATTTTTTCATAAGGCCTATGTCGAGCTGATAAAAGCTTAATATAATATGCTGTCTGCTCTTAAACCTCTGCATTACCATTAGTTTATGGCTCTAACTTACTGTTGGTTATTATTATCCTATCAAATGTTCGTACTTAATCATCTTGTTTCTGGTAATCATATCTGTAGGACCTTATAATTCGTGGTGAGAAAAGTATTCCCCTGTACAGGTTCACTTCGTGAAACTCTGACCTCATACTTGGTTATTAACTTTTTTGGTTTCTACTGTACTTTGACACTCTGTCTAACATCATTGATTCATCTGCAGTCGAGTTGTGGAGGCTCAGGCACCCATGGCAGTTGTTATTCCTTCCAAAGGAAGAAGCTTCAGTACAGAGTTGCGAGATGGTGATGTTTCTTGGCACGATCTCCTGGATAGAGTTATAGATTCCAGGTAGACATATAAAATCAATCTTAGTGTTTGATCTTGGTGAGAGGCGTCTTTTTCTTCAGGATTCTTGCATATCCTATGTTTTCTTTTATGCTCAGAATAAAATGCATGCTATCCTGAAATATATAATGCGTACCAGAAACCATCCTTTTGGATTTCGCGAGGAAAGGATTGTCTGTCTCTTTCTTCTTTTTTCTGGCTGAAAGAGCTTAACCTTTGTTGCAGCTTGGAAGTATGCATCTCTTTTCTGTTCTTGGGTTTTTTCGATTTATCCCTGCGTTCTTCTCTTTCTTTTACAGTTAATCACACTGTTGCTTGTTATGTCAACCTGCAGAGGGAATGAATTTGCTGCTGTGGAACAACCAGTTGGTGCTTTCACAAATATTCTTTTCTCATCTGGTACAACAGGTAAAGTATGTATTTCATAACCAGTTGTTTATTTTCCCTTACGTCTTTCCTAAATTCAGGGGGAGGTGCTCTTAGTTAAGATTTGTTTAGTTATTTCATGCATAAATCACTTTTGACAATACATAATACTCCCAACTAGGAACTGGATTGGATTTCATATTTGATGTCTCATTGTCTTCTTTTCCAATAATTTGTGTGTGTAAACATTGTCTTCCATTTATTCTTTTCCTGTTATAGGGGATCCGAAAGCAATTCCATGGACCCAGGCAACTCCTTTGAAATCTGCAGCAGATGCATGGTGCCACATGGATATCCGCAAAGCAGATGTTGTTGCCTGGCCCACTAACCTTGGCTGGATGATGGGTCCCTGGCTGGTGTATGCTTCATTGTTGAATGGAGCCTCAATTGCTTTGTATAATGGATCACCACTTGGTTCCTCGTTTGCCAAATTTGTGCAGGTAAACAGATTCCACGACACTTGTTATCTCCTGTTGCCATCTATTTTTGTTAATCTGATGTGCTGGCAAATCTGTAATTTCATATGAACCATGTTAGATATGCAATTTTCTTTCTCACCTTTTTTGAGAATGTGTTGAGGTGCTTTTTTCCTTTCTGACATAAATATGCCATGAGCTTTTGATGTCCTTAAATTTAAAAGTAGAATATATGAAGTCTAACAACGTTCCTTTAAAATTCTCAGGATGTCAATGTTACAATGCTTGGGGTCATCCCCAGTATTGTCCGTGCATGGAAAAGTTCGAACAGTACAGCTGGCTACGACTGGTCATCCATTCGGTAAAGATCATATTTGCCATTTATGTGATGTTCACAATCTCGTGGTCTCAGGTTCATCATATTGGAGCCTATGATGCACATAGCAACATTTTTGCTTCTTTTCTCCTGCTTTACTACTACAAGGTGCATGTTTACTGTCTACACTAATCACACTAGTCATTTCCAAAACTGGTAGCTGCTTTGGCTCGACTGGTGAAGCTTCAAGTGTTGATGAATATTTATGGTTGATGGGGAGAGCCAACTACAAACCGGTCATTGAATACTGTGGTGGCACAGAAATTGGAGGTGGTTTCGTTACAGGATCCTTGTTGCAACCACAATCATTGGCTGCTTTCAGCACTCCAGCAATGGGCTGCAGATTATACATTCTAGGTGACAATGAACTTCCTATAGTAAGTTCAAACAAATTCCTGTCAGATAAATAGAGTGTTGATTTTGCTTGTTTGTAAGAACTCACTCGCTTCTCTTCTGTCCCTATCCTATCTACCTTGAAGTACAGCCACAGGATGCGGCTGGAATCGGTGAACTAGCTCTTGGTCCTCACATGTTTGGTTCTTCAAGCACACTGCTGAATGCTGACCACTATAGCGTGTATTTCAAGGGAATGCCTTCGCTTGATGGAAAAGTAAGTGATGCTCATTCCTACCCACTAGTAAAGTCTCTCTGCCTGGTTTTTTTTTTTTTTTTTCCTTTTAACTTTTGAACCTTGGCTAACAGGTCCTGCGGAGGCATGGCGACTTTTTTGAGCGCACTGCAAGCGGATACTATAGGGCACACGGTCGTGCTGATGATACGATGAATCTCGGGGGTATCAAGGTACATGCATGAACCTCTTAACGCAGTGTCAAGTCCTGTTTTGATAATCGAGGAGCATCTAGATGAGGTTTGCTTATCTCTCTTAGTTGCATAAAGATTTTGACGTTAATACCCTCCTTGATCAATTTGAATGCCAGGTTAGTTCTGTGGAGATCGAGCGAATTTGTAATGCAGCAGACGACTGTGTCCTCGAGACAGCTGCAATTGGGGTGCCACCCCCTGAAGGTGGTCCTGAACACTTGGTTATAGCTGTTGTTCTCAAGAACCCAGATCATTTAGTAGACTTGGATCAGCTGAAGAAGTCTTTCAATCTGGCAGTGCAAAAGAAGCTGAATCCATTGTTCAGGGTATTTGCCCTCTGATAGCCAATTATTACTACAGAATTACCATAGGGCGTTCGCTAATTAACCATGGTGTGTGTTTATTGCATGATGCAGGTTTCTGTGGTTGTCACTGTTGCTTCCCTTCCGAGAACGGCTACCAACAAGGTCATGAGGCGAGTTCTGCGGCAGCAGTTCAGTCAGCCACAGGACATGAATCCTAAACTGTGAGCTTGGTAAATGATCGAATCTGGGATTGGGCTCCATCTCTTTGTCCATAGGATTGGGAGGAATTCCCATTTTCATGAATGAATTGTCAAGCGCAATCGACAGCTGTAGAATGCTTGAAATGAACCTCACTTTTAGGGTGGATATGGAGAATCTATGTAGGCCTGCTTTTGCATAGCTGAAATCCAGAAACTAGTCGTTGTCGTTGTTGTTGGTGTTGTTGTTGATTGTACTCTTGGATATGGATCCAGTGATTTCAACATTATGTTAAATATTACCCGTGGTATCACCAAATGTTCTGTTTGTCACTCAGTTATTTTTCACCCCAAGTTTCAGTTTTAACTTCTAAAGTATAGACTAATCACTTTTAAGCACACGAGTTCTGAAGGTAATTTCTACCCCCACCTACTACGCCACTTGACTAGCCCCGTTTGGCCATGTGGGGCATTACTTGTTCCGCAAGTATCATCGGATGGGTTGTGTATCTTACTTTGGCGCGGAGTTTTATTCAGTATTTGCAAAACCTTATTGTATCATTGGTGACTCGAAAAATATGTTGTTAGAATTAAAATCACTATAAGATTTTATCGGTAGGAATTTAAATTATGAAAATAATACTAGAAACTCAAAATAACAGCTAATTTTCATATACATCCGTATTAACAAGGTAATGTTCTTGTTCAAAAGAGTAATTAATCCTTCAATAAGCTCTAAACAAACCAGCCCACGAACTAAACTCAAAAGTCACTGAGTCATGCTACCTCACGAGCTTATCAAGCTAAGCATGGTCTAACTCAATCTTGTTTCGTTTACTAACGAGTTGGCTAACAAGTCGAGTGTCGAACGGATTTTTTTCGATTCTAACAACGAGTTGCTCGCGAGCGGATTGACTCATTTGCAGCCCTAGACTCAAATGATTCTCTTTTATTAAAATATTTTTCCTTTGTTTTTCATATAATTGTTGAGATTTGAGAACTTAAGATGTGACACATTTTTCTAATCACATGTCAGAATGAATCTATCTTCTCTGATTTATATCTACGGATTTTTATCCAATTAAATTGGAAACAAATTGGAAACAACAAATGAAAGGGTTAATAGCATTTTATGCCCCTTTACTATTGTAAATTAACAAATGTGCCCCTATACTATATCTTTGCACAAACATACCCTTCTAATATTACAACTTAACAAAAATAGATTTCCGTTAAAAATTCGTGAAGTGGCCGTTAACTGGAGTTGGAAATTATCCAATTACCCTTACTTAAACTAAAATTATAATTTAATTTATTGTGCAGGCAAATTGAAAAATCCCTAATCTAAATCTGTCTCCCTTGCGAGCATCTGCGCCCGTCAATCTTCCCTCCCAATCCGGCGGCCATCTTCACTTTCGCCGTCCACCTCCTCCGACGCCACTACCGGCGGCGCTGCTACTCCTGTTAAAAATTGTAGGTGACCCTCAACCTTCATTGCCAGCTGTATTTTACTTTCATCTTTCTCTCTTTGCTGCTCTGCAACACTAATAAACGAGTTATTTGTGTCTACATAAGTCATTAAGAGAACGAATTCAAATACTCATGTATACCAAGACAAGAATCAATAAAAATTAAACCGTTGACCATACATATACATTTTCACTTATTTTTATCACCGCAAGGTGAAAAACTCCTGTGCTAAAAAGTGAGTGCGGAAATTATGCAGAATGAAGGAATGGGTAGGGCAAAAAGGACAAGCTATATTTTGAGTAGCTATATAGGTTTAGCATACAAGTCATTTTGCTTCCCCTTTTCACGAAATTTCTCCCACCATAATATTGACAGCCACTTCAATTGCAGACACCTGTTAAATAGAAAGGCGTCAGATATGAAGCAAAAGGTTAACATGTGAAGTCCACTACCCAATCAAACTTGATAGGTGGACGCCAGAGGAGTTGGGGACCGCGGAGGTGAAGATCGGCGGAGGAGTTAGTGGACGACAAAGGTGAAGATGACCGCCGGATTGGGAGGGGAAGGCCGACGGACAAAGATGCTCATAGTTGAACTGTTGAAGGGAGACAAACTTAGATTAGGATTTTTAGATCTGCTTGTACAATAAATTAAATTACAATTTCAGTTTAAGTAAGGGTAAATCGGTCATTTCCCATTCCAGTTAACGGCACTTCACAGAATTTTTAATGAAAGGGTATTTTCGTTATGTGGTGATATAGAAAGGCACGTTTATGTAAAAATATAGTACAGGGACACGTTTGTTAATATATGATAGTATAGGGATACAAAATGCTATTAACCCAAATGAAAATGACAAACTAGAAAGAAAAATGGTACAGAAACAAAAAGGAAATACAATTAAAAAAACATGGAAATACAATGAGATGTGGGGGGGGGCTACTATTCTTCATCTCCCTCCCAGATTGATAAAACCCAAGTCGTCTTCATAACTTTACCTTTCCCTTCCCAACTACTTCTCTTCCAGCATCCCGCTGCCGGGGCACCCTCCTCTAATTTTGCTCCCGACGAAAGACCGGCGGCCGGGAGGTGGAAAGATAAAACCTCAGAGAATCAATCATGGCTTCCCTCTTCATCTCCAACCCTATCCTCTCCTCTCCCTTCGTCCCTCAAACCCTGTAATTTCTCTCCCCCAATTCCCCTATCCGTTCCCTTTTCTGCTTTACTCGATTGAAATTCAGCTCGAATTATCTTGTTTCCCTTGTCATAAACCTCACTTAGCTTTCTACTGCTTCTTCTGTTGCTATGCTAATTCCGATGCTAATCCTCTTCCCCCAATTCATTCTGCTTTTGTGCAGTAAACGCTTACAGAAGAAGGACGCGGCGGCGGCTGCGTCTTACCATCCGCTTCCCAAGTGCTCTAGAGGTCTTACCGTCGTCAAGTGTTCCGTGGATGCCCCTTACGAAGGTATAATTCCATTTCCACCATCTTCCTCAGACCAGTCTTGTTCGACAAGACCGACTCTTTGTAATTCGTTTGATGAGTTCCTTCAATAGAGAATCTTACCCTTTCTCTAGAGCTCAGACGTAACCAATTTGATTGAGAACGGAAGTTTCTCTTAGAGGATTTTCAGGGTAAAGGTTTGTTTTTTTGTTCATGTGGTGTGTTAAAGATAACTTCCCCCCCCTTCTTTTGGTGTTGTACATTGTGCTGTATTGTAGCTGAATTTCTTTCCGTTGTCTGGTTGAATGTCTGATATAGATGGTGGATGACGATGCTCGTGTTGTTCTGTGCAGGCAGTGTACCGAAGTTCCCTCGGATGACTGTTTGGGATCCTTATAAGCGTCTGGGAGTCAGCCCTTACGCTAACGAGGAGGAAATTTGGGGTGCTCGTAATTTCCTCCTGGAACAGTATTCAGGACACGAGGGGAGTGAAGAATCTATAGAAGCTGCTTTTGAGAGACTTCTGATGACCAGCTTCAAGCAACGTAAGAAGACGAAGATTAATCTGAAAACCAGGCTAAAGAAGCAGGTCGACGAGTCTCCAGCTTGGGTGAAGAACTTGCTCAGTTTTGTGGAACTCCCTCCAATGGATATCATCTTCAGGAGATTGTTCCTTTTTGCATTTATGGGTGGATGGAGTATCATGAACTCTGCTGAAGGCGGACCTGCTTTTCAGGTTTGTTCCCACTACATGTATTATGATCCCATCCCTGAATGCGTTTGGGCTCATCTTATTTACTGTTGAGTAGTTCCTTATTTGTTCCAGTTGGAATGCCTAGGCTGGTTTCTTATTCACCCTATAGCTGCAAAGCTAGTCTGGCTCTCTGAAATGGTAGATTAGCCAAGTATGAACATGATACATGTAGAGTTGGGAATGTTGTTACCTGAATTTCGGATTCAAATTTCCTTTCTGGCGTGGCTCCAGGATTTGCGGGGCCTTTCGGACAGATAGGAAAAATGGCTCTTTGTTTGTCCTTGGAGTATCAGTATGCCAAGCAACTATTTTTTGAACTTCGTTTTAGTAGTTTAGGCCTACTTGCATTTCTTGAAAAATTTCGTCTGCATTGTTTCTAGTTGCATTTCCCCCTTCTCCAAAACTCCTTTCATTTTGGTTGCATAAAGCTATCTTTTGGTCCCATATATACCCTCTGAAAATTGAAGCACTCAAATGGGAAGTTTTTGCTGAAAATGGAGTGGGATTGGTTGGACTTGGACTAATGTTCAGCTAGTATCAGCACAATGGTTGCTCATCCAACTGCTTTGTGTGACACCTCAAAATATTTGGGTTCAGGATCTAATGAGTTATGTTTAGGAGTAGTTGAAAATCCGTAGGGTAAAAATTAGAGAAACAAGTTATGCTTCTTTTGTTCAGGTTGTCAACCGTTGAATGGTTTTTTCCATTTTGTAGTTGTGCATGCATGATAAAGGTCAATTTTTTTTTTACTCTAGATGGTTAGAGTTTGCTCAAAAGGTCAATGGATGAGACAAATAATTCCTCTAATCTCTGTTCTACTGCACCATGATATCTGTCACCTAAGACCCTTATCATATAGCAAAACCCTTGTCAGTCTAATAGGTTTGAGCCAGCAATGGGAGTTGGAAGTATTAACTGATTCAGTGTGGTCTTGAGACTTATGTCCTGGATACATGTGGAGATTGTGCTCCCTTATATCTTCTGTACTAAAGGAGCAGTTATTCTGTTATTGCAGGTGGCTGTCTCTTTGGCAGCATGCATATATTTCCTCAATGAGAAGACAAAGAGCCTGGGCAGAGCTTTTGCCATCGGGTGAGTACACGAATGAGAAGAGCTAACATCGAAGTTACAGTCGTCTTTCATCTGAAACATTAAGTTATTTTACTGACGAAACTGTCTCTCTGCATATTACAGTCTAGGAGCTCTTGCAACTGGGTGGGTATGCGGCTCCATTCTTGTTCCCATCATTCCAACAGTTCTAATACACCCTACGTGGACGCTGGAACTCATGACGTCGTTGGTAGCCTACTGTTTCTTGTTCCTCGGTTGCACTTTCCTCAAATGAAGTAAAGACTCCAGTTAGTGATACCAGAACTTTCAGTCTGTATGATCACAACTCTATTGAACTTGGATTACAGCATTTCTTGTTTGATAATGATCAATGCGAATCGATGTCTCTGTACTGCATCAATTTTGTTTCGAGTGCCACTGAAAGTGAAATCAATCACATTCCCAGCTACTGACCAACTCTTTTTTTTTTTTTTTTTGGGTAGAATACTGGACCAACTCTATTGTTATGATCAGCTAACTACAAAGCTGCTGTCTGATGCAGATAGTTTGCCTATCCCGACGTACACATATGACAAAAGTTTAAAAACAAGTAGACAACCTTTTTCTTTGAAATTGAAACAACAGGGAGAAACAACAATCAATCCAACGTGAGAAGAATGGTCAACTGAATCAAGCTACAAAGATCGAAACTAACAAGAATGAGAACAAATGAATATCAGATGAAAGCTACACTTAGCGAAGAAACTAGTAGAAAGAGAGAAAACAAACATCAAGGGTACTTCCCGGGAAGATACTTTCTACTGGAACTCGACGACGATTTGCTGAACCGTGCACAACAACCGATGACATACACCGAGATGGCGAGTATCAGAACACAGACGTTAATGATCGCCAGAGACCTCCACTGCTGCTTGATGTTGTACACGAATGACGCCTTGCACGACTCGCAGTCGTAGCACAACTCGTTCTGCTTGTTGCTCCATCCATTGCAGTCTGGATCTGCCCCCGCCGCGATCCCTTTCTTGGGCGGGATCCAGAACGTCTCGTTCCTCATCGTGAAACCACACGAAGATGGTGGTGTGCAGCAACCAGACTGCACATTGTAACAATACATAACACCATGTTCAGTTCATGACTCAACAAAACAAAACTAAATCAAAGAACAGGGCCAGGGGAGGGGAAAAAACAGAGTAGTGGGAGGGGTATGATCGGGTACATACGCGAGTAGAGGAGAACCGCTTCTTGATGAAATCGATGACGGCACGATCTTTAGCGACGACACCGTAACAGATCCTGGCGTCGATCAAGCAGCTCTTGATGTTCCCCCAATTCTCGTCGTTGACGTAATAGCGACGGAGCCAGCCGTCGAGGTTGTAGATCTTCAATTTAGTGACGGTCCGCGCGATGCTCTGATTTGTGACGAAGATGAGGAAAATGGTGAAGAGGGCGAGGAGGACGATGGCGGCGAACATGACGATCAAGTAGAGGAAGATGAAGCAGCTGTTGCGGCAGCAGGAGCCGACGAGGCCGATCGCCGCCACGCCGACCAGCGCGGCGCCGGTGATCAGGAGCGGCCGCTCGAGCCCTTGCCGGCACTGCGTCGTGGAGTCGCCGGCGATCATCAGGTACAGACCGGTGCCGACGGCCATTAGGCCTAGCACTAATAGGATGGTGTTGATTATCGCGACTAGCACGTTGCTGACAGTCGTCGCCATTGCTTCTTGAATTTCTTGTTGTTGTCCCTCCTCGATTTGAATTTTTTCGTCGGATCGGAGAGTGTGTGGATGGACACCAAAGACGACGGAGACAGAGCGAACTAAGCTCTCTTTGTTTTTTTCTTTTTTCTGTTTCTGTTCTGTTTTGTGGCTCTCTCTTATTTACTTGTTTGTTTGTGTGTGAAAAATAGTTATCTTTTGTTGGTCTTTTAATTCTGTTTTTGAAGTTGCGAAACGGTCGTCTTAAAAAGGGAGAATAAGAGTTGTGAAACAGTTTTTGTTGTTGTTGTTGTTGTTGATAGGGTTTGTTGTAACACCCCAACATTAGACATATATGTATTCCCTAAATTACCCTCCTTTTGTTTGTAATTAATTAATAAACTAAGGGGTCGTTTGGAAATTGTGATTCTTCAAATTGATGTATTAGGTCAATTAGTGTATTATCATTTGATGTATTGATTCAATGCATGTATTAGGAAAATACTTTGTTTGGAAGAGCAATGATGAAACAAAAAGTAGGGTAGACAATCCCTCATTAACAATCTCACCTTTTAGTAGAGATTTATAATCATTCATTTTGAGTGATTGTAGGTGGGCCCAACAAAAAGGTAATGCATGCATTCTAACTCAAAGTGAACCAAAAAAACGACTTAATCTTATCATTACATGTATTTGCTAAATACCTCACTTCAAATCTCAACCTCCAAACGACCCCTAATTATTCCTTAGAACCCTAGCCTGAACCCTTCGTGTGTGTGTATATGTGGTTGAGAACACAATTGAGGGGCGGCCACTACTCCTCTCTGTCTGCGTAGGATTTGAGTTATTATTCGTGGTATGTTATATACATGTGTCGCTATTTCGGATAATAAGAAATAAAAGAGAACATTTGTTAGTTATAGGATTGTGCATTTATTTTTTTATCATAAATGAAGCCTCTCACTCAGTGAGAATGAGGATGTATCTTCGTTGTAGACTTTTGCTATCGGGTTTGTGATTGATTATTTCCATTGTAGCGAATTGAATTTAGACCGTAAGTTAAATTGGACCATACGTGGGTATGCGATGTAAACTTGGATAATCTCAATACCACTAAATTAAAAGAAGAAGAGCCTCCCCATCCAAAATCTTTGCTTTAACCTAAAATAGCATTCCCTACACTACACGAGGCACCACCAAGAAAGATGGAGAAGAAAGGATTTGAATCACTTTAGTTTCAATCCTAGAAACAAACTACAACTACCTTAGCTATCCACAAAAATGAGGGCAGAACTCAATCAAGGGTAGTAATACCCTTTGTAGTTCTTAGTACAGTAAGGGTTGATCCCTCTCCTGGCGCAGCAACTAACAGAGTAAATGAGGACAAAGAGCAGAAGAAGACAGAGGTTGATGATAGCCAGCGTCCTCCATTCTTTCCTGACGTCTTCCAGCACGCCGGCTTTGCAGGAGCTGCAGTCGAAGCACTTTTTGCTGGGATCGTTGCTCCATGCGGCGCAGTCCGCGTCCTTGGTCGATGACCGCGCCGGCATCACCCACATCGCCTTCTTGTTGCTCGATTTGACGAACCCGCACTCCTCTGGTGGCTTGCAGCAGCTACCCTGTTCATCGTCATCATTAATTAAGGTGCTTGATTAATCAGTACATATATCGATTCCATTGTTAAGGAAGCAAAATTTATTACTAACCTAGTAATATGCATTCATGGTCAAGCCTTCAAAGACCAAAAACTTGTTGCTATGACTTGAATACATATTATCTGTGCTCGGCTTGAGTTTACGGGGTTCGACTAAAGCTCTTCGTAATTCTCAAATTCATCTAAAATTACATGTAAATTTTATAATAAATTTGAGAATGTTTTATTTCCTGCTCAAATTTTCCAAGCGTCACATTTAAATTTTTTGCTTCGTCATCTGTGTCATAGTTCAACGCAAACGTTTTAAATCCATCTATGAAGCTAGCAAATACTTTGGGAGTAGCAACGATAGGGGTTCATGATAGTTATCTAGACCTCCCTCCCATCTTATGTTCATCGTTCTAAAATACAAACTTTTCAAAAAAAAAAAAAAATCTTCAGACGGCTCGTATTCATGATCATTATCTAGGTCTTCCATCTCATATTACTAGCTAACCTATTAATTAAGGCATAAATAATTGTTAAGGCTTCAAAGTCAAAGAAGTAGCTAGCTATGAAGGCAAGCCAAAATGTATCACCTGCAAAATGGTCCAAGACTTGGATTCATGAGGATCAAGCATGGAGCCCCCACAAACATCGGCGTCGGCCATGCAACTCTTGACCTTGCTCCACCGCTTCCCGCTGACGAAATGATCCCGGAGCCAATCGGAGTAGTCCCGCAGCCGGTACTCCTCGTACCCGACGCCGGTGAGTGCCTTCCCGGCGGCGGAATTGGTGACGACGAGGGCAAACACGACGAAAGCCAAGGCGGCCAGTATCATGAGAAACGTCAAGAAGGAGTAGATCCACAGCACCGCTCTCATCCTGCAGCAGGTGCCGATCAGGCCCATCAACGAGATGAAGAACAGGAAGCAGCCCATTATCAGCAACGGGCTCTGCAACGATTTCTGGCAGTCCGAATTGCTTCCGGCCACCTGCATTATCCCCGCCGTCGCCATGGTGCCGATGCCGAACATCATCATCATGACGTTCAGGATTGAGAAGATGCAGTTCGTTAGCCAGACCATGATAATTAATCCTTTAGGGAGACAAAATTAAAGATGGTATTCTTAATTTTCTTATTTTTTTTGTACAAATAAAGGAATAAATTGGAAAATTTAAGGGCGGGAACAAAAACCCTTGTAAAATTCTGTTCTAGAAATTTAGCAGGAGAGGAAATGAAAGGAGAAAGAAATTGATTGAATCGTTTCTACATTGATATCTAGATTGAATCATGCATGCATGTACTAAATTTGGCTAGTTTTTCATCCTCTTTGTATAAATTTCTCTCAATCAATTATTTCTTAAAAATAAGATGAATCGGTTTATCAAACTTAGCTGATTGATTAAGATAGAGGCTTTTCAACTCAGCTTGTATTAGTCTTTTACACTTAAATGTTAGTGATCGGAGAAAATGTTTTTTTTTTCAATACTTATGGTTTGTGTGACATTGCTCGATTTCAAGTAAGTATATTTAGATTATGAATTTGATTTAGAGATTTGAGTTTCGCAATCCATAAACATTGTCAAATGCATTTTTCTTTGATGATAGGACAAATCATTCACTCTATTTAACTAGTTTTTTACCCGCCCGTTGGGCGGTAGATTATGTTTGGTTATTTTTGTTGACTTATCAAAAAATGGCTCAAGATAGGGTGCATAACCATGGGTTATACACCCATCAATAATCAAATCTGGACCCTTCATTTAGAAAATCCAGATCTAAGGATGGAGAATTAAAAGCTATTTTTATTTTCACTAGCTTTCTTAATTGACTCATATCTTTTTCGTTTTAACTCGGATTTTAATTTTTTTTTCACAGATGGAACGAGTTCACCGTGCTCTACAAAATGAGATCAATTTTCAATATTTTTTAGGAAAAAAAAATTCTGGCCTCTCGGTACCAACTGCATACCATATGGTATCTTCTTCGTTTTTAATTCGTTTTTGAATACGTTTGCACAGCAGGGATGAGTTCATCATGATCTACTGGATCTACAAATTTCTGGGTGAACAAATTACAGGACCAAAAAATACCACACAATACCATACAATACCACCCTGGTACGGGGTGGTATTGTATGGTATCTTCTTCGTTTTTAATTCATTTTTGAAAACGTTTGCACAGAAGGGACGAGTTCATCATGATCTATTGGATCTACAAATTTCTAGGTGAACAAATTACAGGACCAAAAAATACCATACAATACCACCCTGGTACGGGGTGGTATTTTGTGGTATACAATGATAAAAGTCGTAAATTACAATTAATATACTTCTACTATCATGTATTCAACCATCCTACAGTATTGGTTTGTTCATACCACCATGGTACGTTTTTCAAAACATATGTATGCTTTTATTTCAATACCAGTCAATACCATATGGTATAGGCTGGTAAAAAATGGCTCAATTTTTTTTGTTCGAAAAATATATTAAAGTGGATATCATTTTGAAGAGCACAATTAATCTGATCTAACTGTGCAAAAAAAATTAAATTTCGACTTAAAATGAGCGAGAAATCGTCCGTCAAAGATTAAAGAGGGAAAAATTAAAGGCTTTCCATAAGAGAGAGGATGCTGATGTCATGCTGATGTGGACGGGTTACTCATGATTACTCACCATAAGGTTACTGACCCGATCCATTCCCTCAAAAAATACATGGAACTGTAAATCTCACTTACCTTATTTTAGGTAATGTTTCATACTTTTATACCTTTTTATTTAAGGAAAATTTAATTGTATTAACTGAGCTCTTTGTAAATTGTTCTTTATCGATTTAGAATTTTGTATCGAACTCAAAAAAGTGATAAAGAAGTTAAAAAATTGAAGGCCTCAAACGAAGAAGTTAGAATAAGAAAATATGTGTCAATTAGTAAATAAAAAAAGCGAAGAGCTTTTCATTTTCTTTCCCTTCTCATATGTTGATATAAGATAATAGAGAATATTTCGATTTAGATTCCACGAATATCGTGTATTATCAGTTACACCTACAATTATGAAATAATGATGAAACACATTAGCATCCACATCCATCAATCTTTCGCATACTCATTTAATTTATCTTGACAATGTTCTAGCAAAACCAACCACAAACAGAACTATCAGTTGTCACTAATTTATTAAAGCAATATTTACAGCAAACTAAACTGCATATAAACACAATTTATATTTAATAGAGAGCTACATATCTCTTGCAGGAAAAAATGGTGTTTTTTTAACAAATAACAACATAGACAAATAATGAAAGGAGCATACTTCAATAAAACTCAACTCATTCTATCTTGCATATTCCTAATTTGTGAACTGAATTTATACACTAATCTAGATAGTAGTTGGTAAGAAAACAATCATGTCAAAATCAAATTTTAGTTAGTAATTCAATGAGAAAAAAATCCACCATAATAAAACAAACAAATATCATTGCAAACGTGTAAAAATTGAAAAAACATCAAAATACACAACAAAGGAACCATCACCATCATTTTCTTTCTTCTTCGCAACCCTTATAAAACTCCAATTATGTTCCCTTCTACTTATAATCACTTTGCTACCTACTAATTACTACCCAGATTGTCATCTTATAGCTAGTAGCATGTCAATCATGAACGTAAAGAAAATAATGAACAACCTCATAACTCTATTTTCCATTTCATCATCTAAAGAATCGGGTTGCAATAGGCATTTTAGGAAAACAATCAATTATTCAACCAAAAGAGATATGCCCTAAGTCCAACAATTATCCCTTCTAATTATATATTACCTATTTACATAAAAGTATGTGATGTAATATAGAACATAAAACAACAACGTGAAAATGAAGATGAAATACATTCACTCATCGAGTGGGGGAAATTTATCATCCAACAGTCTTAATTTGGAAGAAATTAAGAAAAGAATGGAAAGAAGAGTGAGTAGTTGCCAACTTCATATCAAGGAGGAAGAAGGAGCAATCGACAATTCTCGGTTTGGTTCATCTCGTCTTCACAATGATAGAATGAATTGTTTTCATCAATAGGAAAAAATATGTTACAACTTCTCAAAATTTTGCAATCTAATCGTTGCCTCGTGTACCTCCCTCCTCCTATTCTCCTACAAAGAAAAAAAAATCATATGCATTATCATTTCCTTCTCTATCTAATATCTTATTTTCAATGTTGTTTCTGGAGAGATAATCAAAATGGGAAAAGGGTAGAGATAAATTAAAAGGTTTCATTCATAATTAATAAGTTTTCATTTAATCGGAATGAATAAGAAGTATTTTAAAAATATAACAATTATTGATCTATCAAGTTTATATTCGGACCTTTCTCTATATAAATTATACTTGTTTTATTTTATAAGTATATGCATTAGAAAGAAGTGAGTGTTTGATAGCAAAAAAAAAATATAGTCATATAGTTGATTTTTCAAAGTCGATTGATTGTCAAACACTTATTTTCTCATAGGCCATCGTTTAAATTTTGTTTAATTGAAAAATTATTATTATTCATATGTGTGCTTCTTTTTATTCATCAAAATGTAACTTATTATAAAATTTTAGTAAAAATGAATAGAAAATTTACTTAATGAGATTTAATAAGATATTTTTAGATTAAACAAACACGATTTATGTCACTCTCTATTTTCATCTTTATTGTTTGTTTAATTAAAAAAAAGATTATTACTTATGTGTGTTTGTTTGTTTAAATGTTTCAAAAAAATGTAACTTATTTTAAGTTTTAGTAAAAATGAGTAGAATTATTAAAAGAAGAGAGATAGCTCCATAAATAGATTAATAAATAAAATTTTGGTTGTATAAACATTGTCCACCTTGGCATCTTGTGAATTCACCAAGTGTTTATGTGGCAAGAAGTTACTTTTGAATAGCCATAGTATTAAGTATAGAAGATTTGACAAACCCTTACTTTGACGAAAGATGACAACATTGCAAATGTCTTGTTTACAAACCACATTTTTAGCTCCAACGAGATAATTAGTTCCATCCGGCAAATTATTACCTTTAAATATAAGTAAGATGAATAAAAATATAGCTTAATAAAATTAGTGTGTAATCGCGTGTTAATCTATACACTTAGGACATTTGTGTTCAATTTTCACTTAATGGAAACTTAGAATCATCATCCCCACGTCATCATAGTGTGATTTCCAACTCCACCACAGATTAAATTCACTTACTATGTAGTGCATGGACAGAGTCATTGCACCACACTATAATTAACGACAAAAAATTAACGACGAGGCGAAGAAAGCCATCGTTTCGTTGGAAGCATGCAGATAGTGAAGTGAAGGTTAACGATCAAAAATGATTTCTTGTCGTCGTTGATGATTCTAATTTTGTGGAGGGAAAGCAAACTAAAATAAAAGGGCTTGTAGTTGTGGGGGGAAAACAAAATAAAGCGGGGTTTTTGGGAGGCTTGGAAATTTGGGTTTCCGCCCTTTTGTTTTCTGTTCTGTTCTGATAGCAAAAGCAACTTTAAAAGCTCTCCATTCTTCCCTGCAGTGCGAAACCCTAACATCAATTTGGGGGGAGAAAAGATACATAGTTTAAGGGGAGCATGGAGCTAAATCACAGCACAGGTTCGTCATTTATAAGTAAAGTAACCCCTTCTCAAGTCAAGCTTTCCAATCCAATCCAATCCTTTGCTTTTCTATTCACTTTTGATGGACGGTTAGTTTTATATATGTTGATGTTTGGCTTTTAAGCTTAGATCTTTTGAGCAACATCAAAAGAGCAAAAAGACATTGGAATGGATCGATTTATATACACAAGATTCTAACCCAACCTGTAGATAAAATTAAATTGATTTCTGCCAAGATTCATAGGGTGTTGTGAATGGGGTTATTGACTTTCCCATCATTATTCATAGGCTGTGCTGTGGGAGTTAAATTAACATTCTTAGTTTTTTTACAGCACCAAACCAAAATGATACCAGATTTTCTTCAGTCTGTGAACCAAAAGGTTTTTGAGTTGAAAATTTGGTGTCAAGAAGGTTTATCGCTTACCAAAACTGGAATGGTGAGAAGTGAGCAAGTAACAGAGGATTGAGTTATTAGCTCAGATCATTTGAGCAACATCAAAAGAG